TATCAGTAATTGACAGTGGATTTGTTGATGATGATGATCATCATCATCCTGATAGTTAGTAAAAGCTAATAGGTAATAGGACAGACCCAATACATAGGAATACATTCAGAGAGGCGACAAGTACTCAGACTTACAAGTATGACCATCTCCGTGCATCGACGACAAGCCAATCAAAGCCACAAACGGCTTTCGATCCTGACACCGAAAGCCAGGTGAGAACTGCCCCTGGAAGTCCTGGCTTGTTGTTCCCTGTGTTCCGCTGGTTTCGACACTCATCGTGCGCTGGTGGCGGCTTTTCGGTGCAACATAGTGCTCCACGGCCCCCAGCACGGCCAGGCCCGGGTTTGTTTTTTTCTGCTGGTAAAATGAGCAAACAACAGACAGGTGCAGACAGCAGTCACAACGTGGCAGATCAGCACTGTAGCGAATCGGGAAAGACACTTGGACACTTTCACGGCTGAGGGGCTCCTCGCGCCAGCCGTCTTGAGAGCTCCGGGTTTGGGTGCGAGTGGTCACCACATCGGTCGCAAACGCAGTTCTCTACTGAAAGCACTTCAGAGTTGGGCAAGTCAAACAGCACCAGGGCCAGAGTTGGCAGCCCAGCTGCGCGGGTGTGGCATCGGGTGCGTCTCCCAACGAGGTCACATGACGACGTCACAACGAGGCAAGACAACGACGAGAAAAGAGGCTCGCACCCGGGAATGGCTGGGGATCGGCGGTGTGAAGAGGTCCACCGTTGACAAACAACCTGGAATAGCTTCAAAGGTGGCTAGGACGTATCTGGGATCCTCGTGATATGAGAAGCATTGTCTCAAAGGTGGCAGCGTTTTTTCATTCCATTGCGGCGCGATTTCTCGGATGCTTCGCCTTTTTTTCAAAGGAGCCAGGCTGATTCGCTGGCGGCGGAAAGTTGGGCCATGTTGGCAGTGCTGCCATGGCCGAAAGGAAAAGGAGCCCCGAAATGTTGCCACAGACTTGTCAAAACCATCCGCTTGAAGCTTCATTCCAAGTAGTCCATCTAAACGCATATCGCTCAACCAAAGCAGTCATGTGTTTGGAGGCAACGAGAATTTCTGGCTGGAGACAAACTCATTGGTCTTCCAGCTTCAGTGAGACTAGTTGCAGTCTCAGGCAGGAACTGGCTCCTGAACAAGAGCATGCTCAGCCTCCTCAACGATTCTCCTCATGGTGTTCACGGTCTCCACGGGGAACCTCACAAAAATTAGGAATGCAACTGGAACTTTCTGGGAACTCAACAATTCCAGGGAAGAGAAGCTGTTTGATTGGAAGATTCCAGGCTCCCAGGTGCTCAAGAAGATTCGAGCCACTCGTCTGACCAAGCATGAATGTAAAAAAACGCCCCCATCGTCTCCACCCCCACGTGGCTCTTTCTTCCACGTGGCTTGCCCATGGCGCTCTCGCTGCTCAACATCACCGCATCGGCACCGTCCAAAATGGCGTTCGCCACGTCGCAGGCCTCGGCGCCTGGGCAGGAACGTCGGTGCGGCGGAAACGGCCCAAGATGGCCTGAGACTCCAAGACCATCCGGGCCAAGACCTGTCAAAAAAGGATGGTGCCATGGTCCCAAATCAGACTGAAGGACGTCTACCATCTCACCTCCCCGCCGCGGCGGGAACGCAGCACGCTTTTGAGAAAGAATCCGGGCGAGCGACGCGTGGGGAAAGGCTTGTCTTCCATGGACGCCAACATCTCGGTGGCACAGACCGCATACTTGCCAGCGGCCTGGGGCACGGCTTACGCACATCGACAGATCGCAGACCGAAGAGGGCACCAATGATGCGGCGACCTGCTGGTGGGGCCCAAAAAATCCCAAAAAGGGACAGAGTCTTAGGAGGAACCCTGAAGGGATGTGATGAACCAACAGCCAAAGAAGCTTGGTCCGTCCTCTCTTTGCAGAAGGGAACCTCTCCACCAGACTTGTGGCCACACAAATAGATTCCCAAAATCTCGGGTGCGAACAGTGTAACAGTGGTGGTCAAGCGTTTTCTATATATATATATATATTATAGAGAGAGAGAGAGATACCGTACCCCTTCCAAGATTCCTAAGATGGTTCCACCACCAAACTTGTCCAACCCACGATCGGGGCTCCTCCCCACGGGCCACACTCTCATGGAATCTGTCAAAGGAGAATTCTAGGAGATCGTCCAAAATATAAACTTTTAGACTGTCAGGGTGGTGCAACGTTTCATCAAACCTCCACAACGCAACAAATCCAAGAGCTGCAAACAACCAACGAGCGAAAAGGGGCGAAGCCAGGAACTGTCAACTACCTGCATGAGGAGGCTTCTGGCGCCTTGGTCTTCTTGAGCATCATCTTCTGCGCCATCCAGACCTTTTCCATGGGGATCTCCATGCCCAGGTCACCTCGAGCCACCATGATGCCATCGGACTCCTCCAGGATCCTAGGGGCGTAGGGCGCTGGACATACAGTCGAACTCTCCGTGGACCAGGCGCTTTGGATCTTCTTCTTTTAGCCCATTCGATTCCCACCCAAGCCCACCCACTTCGTTCCCACTGAGGTCGGTTCTCTTCGAAGTTCCTGACACCATGTGAAACTCAAACTCACACCTGTGCATCCTCTGTGACCTTCTGACCCTAGGAATTGATTCACACAATACATTGAATGGGATTATATATATATGGAACAAATATGTCCATGACCTTCTGCTCTGGAGATGGACCTGCAGTCCATCGTACAGAAATACACCAGAGTCCAAACCTTGCAGTTGGGCCAGTTGGTGGCGAAGAGGCTCATTCCGCCAACTCAATGCAGCTTATGCCAGCCATGATCAGAAAATTCACCAAATGTGTTGTTTTTTCCACAGCCTCTTGCTACAACCAAATAAACACAAAAGAATAACTGCCCTGTGCCAGATCTGACCCTTTGCCGAGCTTTCCACAGACCCCTTCAGCCCTCCGGCCCTGAAAACCCGCGCGCTTCAGCCCTTCGACGTTCTCAATCTTCGAGATGACCTGGCCACCGGTTCGCCGCTCCAAATCTGATGGGGCGGAATGGCCAGGTGTTTGGGGTGTTTGGTTGGAGGTCATGGGTAAAACCCATGGCAAAAAGACCCCTGGACTGAACATGTTTGTAGACTTGGGTGAAAGCCGGTGAAATCATCTTCAAGATTTTCTTGAAATCTTCAGCTCTCTCAGTGCACAAACTCATCATTTCTTCGGACAAATGCACTCACCGGCTTCCCCTCAACGAGACCGCCTTGATGTCCTTGCCATTGAAGTGCTTCCTGCAGTCCTTCACGTCCTGTGCGCTCCTGGGAATCCAGTCTGATGTCTGATGTATCACGATTCTTGGGGCCATCGCTAGTAGGTTGGAGGGTGGTTGGAGGCCATCGCTAGTAGGTTCCAGTGGCTAATAGGTTGGAGGGCATAGTGGGACTTCTTTCGCTCGTGCAGAAGGCGATTCCCGGCGCGCGGGGAGGCACCTTCCCAGTCAACTTGCATGCCTATGACAACCTATGGCCTCATGACAGGATTCCTAGCATCTCCGCGTGGGCGTTCAACAAATTTCAACGGACAAAGACACTCGTTAACACCAAAGCCAACAGCCCCTTGCCAAAGCTCTGCACGAAGCTCAGGGCGATGTAGTCAGCATCATTGGGCACCGCCCAGTCCGCGATGTCCTAGCGTGGAGCCCCAAGAGGTCTGTTAATCGTGATGCGATGTGATACGTCCAGATTCTGGAGAAACCCTAATTGCTTTGCTGCCAGTCAAGAAGAACATGGTCCAAAAGGATACCCGAAACATCTATACCACGCATGTGTAGACCTGCAGTGCTCCAAATTTTGCACCTGCACTCCTCCACCCTGAGTTTGGGAGTCGTCCTTGATCTCACGCTCGCCCACCACGGGAATCTCGACTTTGACACCTGTGCACCGCGAGATCAGTCCGAACAGGATGTGCTGCTTCAACAGCGTGACTGATCGTGAACACACCCTCCCAGGTGACATCTAGAATGGATGAAAATGCAAGCCTTGGTGGAGGTTCCATGGGGGTCGACAAACCCAAAGCTTGAGGCATTGCTGACAACCCCAGCTGGGACTTGGCATGATCTGCACCACCCCCCTCGGGCATTCACTCACGTTCTGCCTGGGACGTTCACGTTCTTCTTCTCACCCAGCTTGCAGTTGTTCACCACCTGGCAACGGAGCTGGCAAGTGAGATCCTTCAAGACCAGGGATCATACCCAAACACCCTTATAGACATACGTTATATATACAGTATATCAGACCGTATATACATGTTTTGAATTTATATACAGTATATCAGACAGTATACATATACAATACCATTCATATATATATATACACAGTATATCCAGTATATCTTTGACAGCCACAGCATGCGGCTTCTTAGGCATGATCCAGTGAAGAAAACAAGCCTTCAGGCAAATACCATCAAATATCTAAATAGCCAAATCCTTTCATTCCACATCGTGTCAAGAATCAGCATCCCAGCGGTTCTGCTGTCCAACTTTGGACATCCTATCGGTCAGAAAATGTCTGCAATCAACGGTTGAATGCTACAGTTGCCACACATCTGCCCTTGCCAACCTTGCACATGACATAGTCATCACCGCATTCCTCGACGATGAGAATCACCGTGCCATCCTGCAACTTTGCAACATGTGATTAACAGAACCGATCCGAAGAAAATAAACACACCCAGCCAAACAACACCATTGGACCATAGCCATGCTGCCATGCTGTACAACCAGAAACCGCGATCAAATGGTAGTGTAAATATATGGACCTCTACTGACACATGCATCATGAATCTGGCAGACCTGAAACGAAGGACAAGGAATCCAAACCTGCCGCTCCTGGACGAGAATGCGCTGACCCTTCTTGACGCTCTTGGGCAACTGCGCGTAGGTGATGGCCACCATGGTCTCATCACCCTGGAGTCGGCGGCTTCTTCCGCCGAGAAGTGGTGGACGGATTGATCGAGCCAGTGAGGCACCAGCTCTCAAAGTCAAGTGGAGAATCATCTCTCATGATTGGGATGTCTAGCTGCTCAAGTTGTTCTAGTGGAACGGGGCCATCTGAAAATCGGGCCATCTGGAATGGCAATGATTATGCCGTCCTCGCCACTACGCAGACCCGTGGCAAACAAACAATTGGAGGTGCTTACTCATGACTCATGACTCATGACTGTTTTGTGTGGTTGTGAGCGTCAAGCCGATGCGAAAAGCCTTTGACCCAGTGTGCCCCTTCGCATGGTTATTTGCAGGAATGGAGTGCCCCCCTCAAAGCCTCTCAAAACATAGGGTGGGTCGATGAGTCCCTGTTGTTCGCCTTTTCCCGCACATCTGAAGAATCCCATCTCCCCATCTGAAGGCCGCACACTCGAGATGGGGTGGCCAAATAAACCGTCTGACGTTGTGGGTTTGGGCTATGACGGCTATGACCAAAAGTGATTTTGGCTTGATTCAGAGTCCTAGGAGTCCCAGGACCTAGGGAAGAAGATTCTGCCGATCTTCGTGATCACCCTTAGGGCCTTCTGCTCGTAGTCCGTCACCAGCTTGAAGTCCTGACAGTTGGAACGAGCGGGCGGCAGGGAGGGAGGGGAGTGAGTGAGAGTCAGCAAAACCCCGGCACGTCAGGAAGGGTTTGGGGTGTATCCCTCCCTCAGAAGAGCTTCAGCACCCGTGGATTCTCGAAAACTGGAGGAGTTCCAGGTGAAAGGAAAAGGAAGCTGGAAGCTCCTAGTAGTAATGCCAGGATCTACTAGTAGTGTGGTGTCCTTGCTCCTAGTAGCGATGCCCTTTGTTACTAGTAGCTTCTTGTTACTAGTAGCACCAGTGCTCCAGCAAGATTTCATTGATGATCTTCCCTATCTTTCACAAACTCCTGGCTCCTGCGGCAATCGACCCAGGTGATTGACTCGTCTGCGGTCGTTTTCAAGCTAAAAACCCTGGCCTGGCCGGCTTTCAACTCCTTTTTGGAATTGTAGACCTCAAAAATGGAATTCCAATCCAGTCACAATTGCATGAAATGCGCCAAGGGCTTTGGAGCCTCCCTAATGTTCCTGTAGAGCTGGGACACAGCTTTGTTCCCCTCTTCTCGCCCAAAAGAATGATGCAAAAAAGAAAAAGAACAATTGCCCTCTTTGATATTTTCTCTTCTCAAAAAGGCAAAATAAAAAGTATCCCAGCTCTCCCTGCCTCGAAGGTCCCAGTGCGAATCTCAGGGCCACGGGTGTCCATCAAGATCTCAGCGGCACCGCAACCCCGCATCGCGTGCCGCGGCACCGCAACCCGGAAGACGCCGAGAGCGGAAGAAATCCAACAAAACAATCGTCAATCCTTCCTTGCGTATCGTGGCACCTAGAGGGAGTGTGTCGTATAGGAAGACCAGACTCCAGGCTCGTATAGGGTCACAAAGCGAAAGAAGCGCACCACTGCGAGGGGAGGAACCACTCAAACGGGGGATGGAGGACGGTGAACCGTTTATGATCCATCTCCCGCTGGCCGATCTCTTGGGTAGCTTGGAGTGATTTGTCGGAAGAGTACCTGTTGAGCAAAACACGGAACGGCCCACCTTCCTCTCACACTGGGCCGGACCGACTTCCACACGTCTCGAAAAAACCAGCAACCTACCGCCCCCGCTCCCCGTTCGCTCAGCCATGGCAGGCCTTCATCTTTCCCTTGAACTCTGGAGCCAGCTCGTAAGCCTTCTCCAAATTTGCCAGCTTCATGCTCTGCTCCTGCGTCTCAAAAGGCACTGCCATTTCTCAAGAGGAACCTGCAGCAAATCGCAACATCAGAGCTTTACTCCCAAAGCTGCAAGTTCCCTGACCAAAGAGCTCAGACTTCACATCTTGCCCTGCCATACGGGTGTCCTCGTGATCGCCATGAGACATGTTGCATCGGATCACGTTCATGCCTGCTTTCATCAGCTTGACCAACACCTGTTAGGCTGCACTCAGGCTGGAAGTATATTATATCTCAATCAAAACCGTTGATCATTGCAATCACTACAATCCACCAGGTTTCTCGTCATCTCTACACCTCAAAACCCTCATCGCTCGATCGTGTTCCTCCTTCTTTTCTTAGGCCCCCAGTCTCCACGTTCTCCAACGCTTCGTCGTGGTCTTCGTCCGGACCAACCGAAGTGTGTCCCCTCCAGACCGCTCGGGCACCTCGGGGTCCCATGACTTGGGTCCAATGGTGCAGATGATGTCGGCCTTCTTCTCCTCTCGTCGCACCGGACACGCACGGGGCGCCGCGGCGCGTCCGAAGCGGCCCTACAGGTTTGGGGGAACTGGAATCTCCCAATGTGTTTCAACCAAATCTTGGACTGTGAGTGCGAAGCCCAAGCATCCCAAGCCCAGTTTGATGTGTCCCCAACTGCATCTCCTGAAAAAGAAGGAGTTCCGGAGAAAACCCTCTGGTGACCCAGCTTGTTGAGAGGATATTTCATGGAATGGAAATGGATTTCACCATCAAATCATCTCCTTCTTGTTCACCTCAGCGATGTCTTCATAGGCTGATGGATACTGCATCGCCTGCTGCTGGAACGTCTCGGCGGAGTGCCGCAGCACCTGCCGCCAAAAGGTTTAAGCAACCACCAAAGTTTGATGAGTTGATGGGTTCCATCCATGGGGGCTTGTTCCACGTGCTCGAGGAGCATGGAAGAGACTAAGACCCAAGAAAGGCCTTCTGCACAAACTTCTTAGCGATGCCCTTTGTTACTAGTAGCTTCTGCTCATCCAAATGTTCTCATCTAGGACTCCAGGAGCCCCTAGGACAGCCGGGCACCTTGCTCTTGCGCCGGGCACCCGCCACAGCAGACGCGCCCAGCATGGTCATGGCCACAGCAGAGACTCCGGGCGCTGAGGCGCCGTTGAAGGCGAATTCGGAGGCCACCCCGGCGGCATGAGAGCGCACGGGTGCAGAGGCACCTGGAAAAGCTGGATATGTTTTTCAAGAAGAAACTCACACTAAAGAAGCCTGAGACGTCTTCATCATGGAAACACCATCATCAAGCACCTGAAGAAGTCACTGTTCTTCAAATGAACTTGTCATGCTCCGCAAGCTGAAGCTATGTTTCCAATCTTCAGGCATGGCCACCAGACAAGAGAGCAGACCGCGAGATCGCGAATCAACCAACATTTGGGATGTGCACGACTGGGATCGTGAGGTCTATTGAAATAGAGAGACCCTCTGGCCGAAGGGATTTTGGTCTATTGCCCTTCTTCCCAAAGTCGCGGAGATCTCTCGGTTCTAAGTCTACCCCAGTGTTCTCCCATTCCACGATGTCACCTTGGCCAATTCAGTGTGATGTTCGTTCCTGTGTTGCCTGGAAGAACCACCCTCCACATCCCCAGGATTGGTGAATCGTGAAACACCGCCTGCAGCGCCGCTGGGCGTCACAAAGAGAGGAGCGGCAACGGCGCTGGTGAGGCCCGCCACCAGAAGACCTGGACGTAAACCCTTGGCCAAAAGACCTGTGCCTCGATTCCTCCCAAAAGACCTGATGTCTTCAAAGGTCCTAAAAGGCCGAAGCGTCTCCATTGGTGGCTGATTGAGCCCAGTGTATTTTTGAGATTGACATCATCCCCGGTTGAGCAGCCCTTCATTTTGATAAAGCTGTGCTGAAGCTGTGCAGACATCATCGAGGGTTCTTTGTCAACTCCTTGCAGAACCATTGGTTTCGTTGATTCAATCGGAATGAATCTGTCTATTCGGTTCATTTGGGAGGCCGGTGGGGATTTCGGGGACTGCCTCCTAGTCCGGCTCCATACGTCAAGCGGCCACGTTTGGAAGGAGCAGTGGACATGGCGTCTTGAGATGCGAAGGGGAGAGGGATCAAAATCGGGGGCGGTTCTTGAAGAAACGGCTTCGGCAGACATCGGTTGATTCCTGGTAAGAAGGAGCATTACAGATGGGTTTCAGAGGAGCATTCTCAGTCTCCCCATTCCAGCCTCAACAAATGAGCACACACCAATGAACCACTACCTTCAGACTTTTCGTGACGTGGTTTAAACCTGCCCGAGACTACCAGAGACTGCCTTCCTCGTCCTCATGACCCTCATGACCCTCAACTTCCACATCTTTAGGCTGCGACATTCCATAGCCCATGCCTTGGCCTTGCATGGCCTGGCGGACTCTCAGGACATCCCCAATGAAAGAACGGAAGTGTTTTGCAGGCCCAAAAACCATGAGAAACGAAGCACTCTTCAATTGGTCACCGAGTTACGAGTTGTTCGATTTTCTGGAAGCTATTGATCTGCAACGACCCAGCCAAAAGCCGGACAATTCACAGGTCTTCTGTGACCCAGGAGGGAGAACCTTTCTTTCTGCGGAATCTATGGTTTTCTTGCCCCGCCCACGAACCCACCCATCGCCTCCTGCATGTTTTGCATATTCTGCATTGCCTAGGCTCTGTCTTGCTCCTTTCACATCATGCAAGGTCAATCTAGACTGACAAAAACAAGCTTGGTATCTCTGCAATCACTGGTGTTTAGTCTCTGAACAAGGTCAAGCACCGGGTACTTGCACTGTCAATCCTCAAAAATATATTCCACCATACCAATCCGCTAGCACAATCGATCACAAGCACTCAGTGGCAGACCGCACCGGACATTCCCCATTGTTGGTAGTAAGGGTTGTTGGCCTCGAGTTCCACCAAGGCGACCGGCGAACAAGGGGACGCCCCTCACCGGAACTCCACGTCTTCGCAAATGGGAGGACATTCCAATTTGGCAGGGTCAAAACAAGTACCAAAGGAAGAAAGCCATGTAAACAAACATGTGTCGTGCCTCCAAGATAAGAACAAAACAAGGATCTTTCTTACTTACAAATGATATGTGCGGAAGATCCCACCTTATCTTTTGGGCAGATCGCGCCTGATCTTGTGGATTCATTGCGCTGAAAAGTGCAGCCTTGCAAGCTCTTCAAAAAATGGGTGCGGGTCGAAGACACTCAAACTGTATGTTTTTCCCCCCGTCATCGGTATCATAGCATTGGTGAGCAAAAGATCGATGTCGGCAATGATCTTGGGCATTTAATATCTTTTCGGCGAACCTGCAAACAAATAGACATGGACTAGCCATGGGTCCTGCATAAACAAGGCTGGTGAACGACTGCTTTGTATTCAACCTGTGATGCAGAATCAAAGTTTATGCAATCTCACGAACTAACTCATTCACTTACCCCCACCTTATCCCTCACTTACTCACTCACTCATTCACTCATTCATTCACTCATTCACATATTCACTCATTCACGCCCATCACCTGCCAACCAACTGGACTGAATCGAACTATCTCATTCACTTGCCTTCTCTCTCTTTTTCACTCTCTTTCTCTCTCCGTCACTCTCTCTCCCTCTCTGTGGGTGTGTCTTTCTCTCTTTCCCTCTTTCAGTCTTTCCCTCTTTCCCTCTTTCTCTCATTCTTTCATTCTCTCTTTCTCTGTTTCTCTCTCTTTCTCTCTTACTCTGTCACGTTTTCTGTTACATTCTCTCTTGTTTTCTCTCTCACTGTCCCTCTCATTTTCTCTCTTGCTGTCTCTCACTCTCTGTTTTGTTTAATATGTATTTCTCTGTTTTTCTCTCTCTTTCTCTCTCTTTCTCTCTCTTTCTCTCTCTTTCTCTCTCTTTCTCTCTCTTTCTCTCTCTTTCTCTCTCTCTCTCTCTCTATCTCCTTTTCTCTCTTGCTCTCTCTTTTTCTCTCTTTTTTCTCTCTCTCTCTCTCTCTCTCTTTCTCTTTCGCTCCCTTTCCTTTTCTGTCCCTCTCTTTCTGTCTCTCTCTCTCTCTCTCTCTTTCTCTCTCCCCTTCTCTTCTCTCTTTCCCTTTCTGTAACCAGCGAACCAATACAGACCACCCACTCTCTGCCAACAGGTTCGATTGTCCTGCCTTCTGGACCAGTTGATCAGCCTCAGAAACAAAACATTTGAGTGGTCACCATGCAAAACATGGATACCGGTTGTCTTTCCAGACATGATTTAATAAGGCCCCAATGTCCACAGTCAATCCTTTGATAACAACTCTTTGACCATAGCCTCAGTTCACCTGTTTTCTTTGCGTGCAAAAAGGTTGTTTCCCAAGATGGCCTCGTTGTACTGTTTGGGGTGAACATGGGGTTTTCTATGCGTTTTGACAGCATGATTCGCAGCACGATGATCCATGAACAATGGTGAAGTTGTATTTTTGTGGTTGGAACGGTCCTCTGCTGCACAAAAACCAAGTTCCGGACAAACTGTGCGCACAGCTTCGAACTGTGCTCCACAGAATGCTGAAGGACTATGGGATGTCTCTTGTGCCAATGCTGCAAGCAATGTTCATCCTCTTGGAAACACACCGATCACAAGTGCACAAGTTGAACTGTTGCAAATGGAAGGGGGTAATAGAAAATGCCTCGGCCTGAAAAACCCTTCCAAATCAAACCCAATGAATATAGAAGTTGCAAAGCGGGATGAAAAACAACATACTGCACAAAAACGCATAGCTACGCACCAGTCAACCTCTTTGCTCAACAACACTCCAAAACTGAATGTAGAAAAACAGAACATAAAAGTACCACCAAAACCGCAACTCGACAAAAAGTATTGGCCTGTATAGATGTGGAGTGGCAATATTGCTCGTCCGGAAACGCGATTTTGCGCCAAACAAAATGGAAGAACATTTCATGATATGACCACGACGAACAAAAACACCAAATAGAAACCCGGAAAACCCCACATGTCAAGCCTTCATCGAGCGTGCAACAGAACATGTAAAGTTGTAAAGTATGGTTGAAAAAAGGGGGAGAGCAGAAGGAGGGACTGGCAAATAAGTGGAACGTGCGAAAGTCTGTGTGTGCGTGTGTAACCCTTGGAGTCACAGGGATCCATTAGGATTGTTACGTTTTGCTTGAGTTTGTATAAAGCAGGGGGCAGGAGCACCATTGCAAGTCTCCTTCCTGCCAACGAAGACACTTGCAATTGGTGGGGATACCAGACCTGATCAGTCTGGCGTACCTGCAGTGATGACTTGACATTACCTCTCGGGCCCCCTTGTAGCATGCCAGAACGTGTCCGCAGCGGACGTAGGCTTCATGCCATGAGGTGGTCGCAGCGGCCAAAGTTTGTTCAAGGTTCAGTGAAACCTGTCGCAATCTTAGGTGCACACACAGCGTATACACTTAAACGAGGCGAGGTCTACCTAGATGTTTCTAATGCGGCTTGGTGCTCTCTGAGGGAAGACCAATGTGAAAAATCCGCCTGACTGCTGTGTTCAGTGTACTGCTTGTTGTCGATACTGTTTGTCCACTTGCCACTGAACCTGTTGCTGGTGTTCTTGGTTGCACCGGCACTTGAATTGCAGTCTGCATCAATGCAGGATTGTTCAACTCAGTCACCTGTTGCACTCTCTGAGGACAATCGCTTGACCAGTGACCAAACCCGTGACATACTCTGCATTGATTTTGGTCCAACGTCTTACCTTTACCGCTCTTCGTCTTTCCTTTGCCCTTCTGTCCTTTCTTTCCTTTCTGTTTGCCATTTCCTTTACCACGACCAAAGCCTCTGCCTTTGCCTCGACCAGGTCCTTTGCCGCCGAAAGGAATGGAGTTTCACCATGACTTTGACTTGCTCTTGTACTTACCTTTTCCTTAGCTCTTGCCTTTCTCTTCCATGAGGCGATCAACTTCCATCGGCGTAGGTCCATTAAAAGGCATGGGATCACCTGGCCGGTTTAGGTTCACTGACTTCAGGATGTGACAGAATTGCATCTTTGATCTCCTTATAGGTTGTACTCTCTTTGATGGTCAACTGCACATGCTGTGTGACCGAGGCTTCTGCACCACGAATCAAAGTTGCTGAATTCAACTCATCCGGGTAGTCTGAACCTGAAAGCCTGAAAGCTCCTCAAATTGTGACACCATCACCAACGTGCCCACGATAAAAGCCTGAGAACCCCTGGGATGGAAATTGGGTGGCGCAAGCGCTCCAACCACGAACGATCTGCACATGGCTTTGGCTCAAGCGTAAGTCCCTGGCAATGCGGTAACTAGTCGGTTCTGCCCATGGCCGCTAGAAGTCCTTCGCAAGCCAGCACGCCAGTTGGCACCGAAGCAGCTACCACCTACCAACTCATGCTAGTTACCTTGGCAGGAGATGAAATCCAGCTTCCAATCGAGTTTCAAGAGTTCTAGAGATGTTACAATGTTCAGGGAAAGGGTTACGCTCTCAAGCAAGACTAGATGCCCAACACACTTTTCTCACTGCCAGAGGTTGTTGGGACAATTATCACCAACAACTCTTGACTTCAGGCCAAGAGTACTCCGCACTTCAGAAATGACGGTCTAAGGTGGTCAAAACGCCTGAAAGAAAAGCGTGAAAGACGTCAAGCATAAAAAGATAGTTAGACCATCACTTCCAAATGAAACCCGCTGGGTATCTAAGGCTGTAAGCCAGGTTTCGGCTACGCTTCAGTTGTGAAGCTTTCCAGCCTAGGTCGCCGCTGACGGTTGGAAAATGTTGAGAGCATAATCAAGGGTGTGGAGGGTGGGCTGAACATTGTACTCTAGAACCAAAATGGCACACAGAACATGAAACATCACAAAACAACATGTGAAGATCACATCGTACGTTCTAGAGATGTTACAATGTTCAGGGAAAGGGTTACGCTCTCAAGCAAGACTAGATGCCCAACACACTTTTCTCACTGCCAAAAGTTGCTTCAGAGGTTGTTGGGACAATTATCACCAAGCAGCATTCCAACAACACTCGGTAAAGGTCTCCCTAGGCGCTCTGAGTGGCAGTGGAATGAAAAGTGCAGATGTCAATGGTGACCGAGCGACCATTGAACCGGAAAGGTCTCCGGATGAATCTGGGCTCCCCGGTGAAACGAGAAGAAATGTTCGAGGCTCATTCGATGCCTCGTGTCCGCTGTGAATTTGACGGGCAAGGGATCATGAAAATTCCAGCGGCTGAGGAGATCAGCATCTTGGTTCAAACTTCCGGGGATGTGCGAGATATCACAGGTGACTCGCGCCGAGACTATGATATGTGCTAAATGTTCGACAAAATAGCACAACGGGGCTGATGTGGTAAAGAGCTTGTTACCACTAGCCTCTGCAGCAGCATTACCGCTGAGACTCTTAAAGTGCAGGGGAACGCATGCGTGAGGACACAATGCTACGCACAAAAGTACAAGAAATGCTTGGGCGAGTGTTTCATAACATGCAATATCACGCTGGGCTTCTGGTCGAACCGGGACGTCGAACTTCTTAATCTCATGGACATGCCACTGCTCAGCGAACCAAAAGATTCGTTGCTTGGAGGCAACAAAACCGCCGACTTGAAACAAGTCCCCTTGGGCAGAGGCGTCGGCGGCTGCTTGAATGGGTGCCTGAAAGGATGGGCGCATGGTTCGAAGAGGAGTTGAGACTGTTAACCATTGAAGCCATAACTTCAGTACACGACGACTGTGAACAGACAGTTTTCTTTGGTGCGAACTAGGATTTACGATACGAAGCCACAATCGTCTGTCTGTCAATCTAACTGCTTCTGCTTCCTGCAGGGTTTGGACAGGAGTGTGTCGAACTGAGATCAGTTTAGAATTCTTGGGAATCGCAGTTCCGGAAGGGGTACTGATGAAGGTGAGATCATCAGAGAGACACGACTTCACTAGTGTCCAGTATCCTGGACCGACACTATAGTGGGTGGCAGGACAAGTCTGCAGGTCTGAGAACAACCAGTGCAGCAAGGCCCGAAAGGGAAGAAACAACTGAGTGATCCACAACGCAAGGCCCGTGAAGCGCTCCAGCTGTTTGCTAGAACAATGACGATGGTTGAGAAGTTCCTCTATCTGGGCAATTAGTTTGCTTTGTTTTTCAGGATGAAGACTGACAAGACCATTGAAGAAATTGAATCGCCATCCGATCCAATCGACCATGGGCCCAAGGGTGCACTTCCTCCAGCTGAGAGGAATACGGAACACTCGACAGAAGATTGCAAGCAGAGTGGCAAACAGTGGGAGGATGGACTTTGGTTGGGTCAGCAGGAAATCGTCAACAAACAGCCATAAGCCATGTTGGACCCAAATCAGGCGATGCCATACTCGAACGAGCCATGATCCGAGTCTGCCCCACCAAAAGGCACTAAATGTAGCTCCAAAGGGGCAAACCCTATAGAAGAAAATTCGACCTTGAAAGGTGAATCCAACTCATCCTTGATGGCGTTCGGATAGGACGATTCTCTTATGAGCTGATTTAATGTCGAAGGTGGCCGCATGCTGAGGCTCCGAACACTGTCGAAGAGGAAAACTTTCAACGACGTCGCGAGCTGACGGGTAGCACTGGCGTTCTGGGATGGTGCAATTCTGATTAGTGTTACAGACACTGCTGTCGAGTACCAATCGGGGAGGCCGTGAATCAGAAAATGCGATGCCCAATTTACCCAGGGCAACTCCTTGGGGGAATGCTTGTTGGGCATCAGTTTCATCGCCATCAAATTCAAAAACCCATCCTTGATCGATCTCATTTTGGATGAGTTCACGTGTGAGATCGGGGTGATCTTCGCTAGATTTCCAATTGCCTCGATGGATTTGCAAAGAGGGAGGTTCTGTATCAGAGCTAAAATCTCGTTCCCAAAACACCTGACTGGCACGTATCGGGGTCATCCGAGGTGCCGGCTGACACTCCTGCAATTAAGCAGGAAAAGACCTGAGAATCCGGGTCATGAACGTGCTGGCTCAAATGTTGGAGGGCGTTCAAGCACATAGGTTGGTGAGGTCGGACGGACCAATCAGTTGGAATCCAGGAGAAAACGCTTCACGAAACTTCTCAACGCAGTCTTCCGAGAACGGGGGATCAGGTCTTTGCTGCTCGATATGTGCAACAAACTCTTTGCGCAAATTCCGTTCCAAAATCAAAGCAATCCAGCTGTCACGAAGGGGTTTAAGAACATCCGTGACATTAGGGGGAAAACTCCAGCCTGGTTGGCTACCTCGTCCACCACCGTCATGCAACGCGTGTGGCGGATCGTGAAGGGGTTTGACAGGAATCAAACTGAGTGCATGCTCTAGAGTCAAATCTGGTATTCGGGGGCCGATGTGGGCATTCAATTTGTGGGACAACATAGTAGCCAACTCTTTGGGATATTCGGCGGTTTTGCGGCTGAGGTATGTGCCCGACTCATCTTGAATACCTGCATACTGAGCATGATCCGAATGAGGACACTGACTGGCATGTTCCACAAACCAATCATGACTGCAGGCAAACATCCAGTGCTTTGAAATGTTCAAAGAAAACTGACATGCTGCCAAAACTACACAATGACAGGCCTGCTGATTTACCCAGGATTTGACCACGGGATCATACCAAGTAAACGCGTTGGGTGGAGATTCAAGGTGGCCGTGGCCCCCCGCGGCGAAGGTGTGCTGTAAGCAACACACGGCACGATGCAAGAGTTCGCGGCTGCTGTTGATCCGGTCTTGCTCGGTGGGAGTTGGGTTGGGAATGCCTAACGGAAACTCATGCGTTCGTACCGGGGTGGGTCCCGGAGTTCGAAGCTTCAGGAGTGAAAATTCACTGCATGGAGGACTAGCTCCACAGTAGGCAACAAGGCCCGAAGCACATAAACGCAACAGGTTCTCAAAATACGTGTCATTGAGAAGGTCCATTTCAGGTGAAATCAACAGGTCAATCGCTAATGTAGCGTGACCTATGTGGTCAAGAGCGGTGCTGAGCGGAGCGCTGGGGCCACTGCAAATGTCCAAAAACAGGTCAGGCCCTGGCACAATGATGGCAGCACCTGAGGACAGTGTGGGTGAGATACATGCAACAGAAGGTTCTGAGACAGAAGGTTGCTCGATAGCAGGAGGTGCAGGGACATCATGTGATACCCTAGACGTGTCTTGGTCCCTTTCTGAACACGCCGGGCCCCTTCAAAAAGGGGCTGCTCTGTGGTCGGCGGCACTATGCTTCTGGCCACAAACGGTGCCATCAGGTTTCAACACTGCACAAACATGTTCGTACTTACAAGCCTTAGGATTGGGACACGTCTTTTGCTGATACTTCAAGCAAATCGTTTTCTTTTGGCCGTCACGTGTGACTTCAGTTCCCCAAGCCGGGCGTGTAGTGGATGTTGTGCCTTTTGCCATACCTTTTGTGGGCGATTTACCGGATCCTTTTGGGCTACCTTTGCCTTTAATCTACTTTCGTGGCAGTGGGTGCTTTCATGGGCTGGGGTGCTTTGAATAACTTGCCCTCATGGCCAAGTGGTTCTGACACTGCACTGCTCAGCTTTGCAGGTTGCGATCTGTTAAGCATTGCAGTGGGAACTAGCCGCTTCTGGCTGGCGGTGGTTGTGATCTTATTGTCCTGCTCCGCTACCACACGCATTCATGTGCTTTGTGGCTGACAGACTGATTGCGATACTCTTCTGCTCAGCTTTGCAGATTGGGATGCGATGCTGTTAAGCACTGCCATGCATGTGGCCTAAGCCTGGCTGACCGTGATTGTGATACTGTCCGTGTCAAGCAAGAGTGTCCATCAGAGCGTCCCACCAAACGTATCAAGCAAGAGTGTCCTACAAGATGGGTCGAACAAAATAGGGAAATATGAAAATGTGTCCTCAAGAGTGCTTGGCAAAGAGCACTGACTGTAAGTTTTGAAACTGTTCTTTAACTGTTCTTAGTCTTGGCCACATCGTGGCAGCGTCGTGTTTGGTTTGAAGCCTCAATGTGAATCTTTTTTGAAGCAAACATACCCTTTGGCCCAAGAGACAGCTACCTACAGCCACAAAGAGCGGAATCCTGCCTTTTTTTAAGCGCGCTATCCACACACAGCGGTCGCCGAAGTACACTGCAGGTCGGTGCACAAAGGTTGTTCAGCAACTGCCGAACATGTATACGAATCTACACCTTGAAAGGGACGGACTGGTATGTGTTATTTGAGTCGGAAGGTGTTCTTTGGGATAACTGCAAATATGTTTAAATTAAAACGTGAGACGACGAACAACACGCTCAATTACAACAGTCTCACATGTCAGTCTTACCGCTGGAGACGAGGCAGCAAAGGTTGACGTTCACAATATGAACAGCACCAACCGAAGTCCTTCTGTTATATATGTTATGTATGTTTTGCTTGGTCTCACACTGACTCTTATCGCGTGCCTCCCTCACTTAGCGCGTGCCCCCCTCACACTCAGTTGAAGGCCTCGCGTACGCTGGTGGAAAAACACACTCATTAATTATTGGACTTTCCTGAGACCAGTGATGTTTCAGATCCTTGCCTTGGAAACTTGAAGATTGAAGGTGGTTTGAAGGCCTGGAGTTGAAGTGTATTACAAAAGAATTTAAGACTACACGGAACTAAAGTTGGAAGTTTTTGGCAAACACACCTGAAGGTAAAGCCAAAAAAACATTGCGCAAGAAACCGCTCAACAAGAAACTTCTCTTTGCACCCCTCCAACTTCTCCAACTCTCTTTCCAACCCGCACCTCAGATTCAGGCTTCTCACACACTGGAGTCTGCACCTGGCTGCATGTTTAGTTTCTGAGGGCTTGAACAAAATGCATGGGAAGCACGCCAAGCACCGTCGCAAAACATATCACACAAGCATCGGTCCGCCACCACAATCAATATTTTTCAAACTTGGCGCCAGAGTCGTGGCAGATCAAATCTGGCTCAGGCTCCCTCAGCGTCATTGCACATCGGCATTGCCAAGTGCTTCAAGAGGGCGAACTTCTCAGGGTTCACGCGGAGCAGCAATCTGTGGACATCGTTCGAGCAGCGCTGCCTGGCGCGAGCGTCGAGCACTGCTGATCGAGGCCACATGGGAAAGAAAACTTGCCACATGAGAAAGGAAAACTTGCCACATGACAATGAGCTGAGAGGAAACTCCGCCCTGCCTGAACGGAACTCGCTGGGTCAACGAACGGTCTTCAATGCCAAGGGTGTTGTCCACAGCAATGAGCAGGTAGGTCACGTACACGTCCATCTCTTCAGCAAAAAAGGAAACATCTTCCCAGCCACTTCCAGGAACTGGCTTCCCCTGAAAGATGTTGAAAGCTTCGTCATCATCGTGAATGACCATGCTGCGCTGAAACAAGATCCTTGGCAAGTGGTGGACAACAGATGTGCGTTGAACGGACTTCTTCCACGACAAAAATCACAGCAAATGATCAGCAGCAAATTTCAAAACTGGCATTGAACAGACTCCTAGGGTCACATTCTGCTTCTGAGCTACGAAGCGGGTGTCACCTCGCATCACCAGAACATCCCCCAGGTCTGGCAACTTCAGCTCACGCACCGAGTTGAACCTGAAAAACAAAGAGTCCGCTTTCACGATGCCGGCCAACTCATCCTTTGGGGTCGTCATGACCCTCGAAACATCAGCTCCATGAGCACGATACACAACAGCTTCGCGGACCATGATGGCAAAACTCAACTCGTGAGATACGACGCACAGCTCACCTACCAGCTCTGAGCACACACACACAGAAGATTAAAAGTTAAAAGCATCTGAACATATTTGAACAAAAGTCAACGCGCACTCGAAAGGCAGGAACTTCGGCTTGGGCTCATGGGGTCTGCAAAAGATTGAAAAAGGTGCTGGTGCCCAATGCCTAGAAGTGAACTTGAACCTTGGAGGAGGAATCATTTGCCACAGCAGCAAAATCTTTTTTCAACCGGCTGCAAAAATTACAGTACAAGTGCCTGGATCTAGTCTATGTCCTCAGGCTCACGCTTCCCTTTGAAGCCGGCTCTTCGAGCCTCTGCCAATGACTTGTGCGTGACACCTTTGTGTTCGTAAAGTCGCCACTTGGTGCCTTGCAAATTACCTGTGCCCCTCACAAACTCTCTCACTTTCCAATCCCCGCAAACACCTTCACGACGCGGGAGGCCCTCAGGAGTGGGATCTAGGTCTGTCCATTCCCAGTCGGAATCACAGAACTGACCAGGAAGATTCTTTGAAGCAGCTGGTCGTTTCATGGTGTTTCCTTTCTGCTTGCTTTTGTCTGGTAACACCGGCTCAAGAACTTCTGAAGAAGCAGCAGCGGTAGTAGCTGGCTTTTTGAAAGTCCTCAGGGCTGAAGGCCGTTTCTTTACTGGTGATTCTTCAGGTTCCTCTTCTGAAAGTTCAAAAGTTTCCTGCGGTTCCAAGGCCTTGCGCTTGGCACTGAGAGCAGCAGCAGCAGCAGCTGCATCAGAACTCCCTTGAGTTGCCCAGGGGTTGTGGTGAGTCTGAGGTGACTCAGTAGCAGCAGGTGCTGCTGCAGCAAAGTTCGTCCCAGAATCGAGAGTCTCCCCAATCTTTGTCTGTGTCTCTTTTGCAGCAGCTGCAGCAAAGCTTCCTTGGATTGCGTTGGGGTCTTGGTCCGCTTTCGTCTCAGACTTGAAAGTCACCTCAATCTGTTTCTCTGTCTCTTTTGTGCCAGTGCTGGTAGTAGGTGTCGGCTCCTTCGGAATGTGTTGTTGTTGAGGATCACTGCGCCATTCTGCAGGCCTCTCTCTGACCGGAGGGGTCTCAAAGTCATCATCGACTTCACCTGATATCCCTCGGAATAATTTCCGAGATTCTAGCCGCGCGGAATCCCGAAAGTCAGCCATTATTGGCGTTGGAGATCGACTGCCACTGCCTACCTGACCCTGGATGGAAATGATCACAAGTCACAAGCATGGTACATCACGCAAAACGTCTTGGACGCAAAACCACTTGACATCACTCCACACAGTTGAAGGATGGAAGTTCAATACACACAGTGATCATCAGACCAGAATGTTTTTGGTCAAGACTGCCTAGCCTTCACATCGCAAGCCATCGAGCTGGCCAGCGCAGCAACTTACATTACAAGTCTCGTTGTTTTAAATTAATCCTATCAAATGAAAACAACTTCCAACTTCAACATCACAACTTGACTGGCCAGCCATCAAGCACAAAGCTCTTGATACACAGTGTCAGTCACAAAGCGACAGTCACGAAGCTTCAAAATGAGGAAAGCAGTTGATATACATATATAATATATATATAGATGGACTTGTTCTAAGGACGGGCCGAGAGAATGGATAAATCATGACTCGCTAAGACTGTCTTCCGAAAATCAAGTGGCCAAGGGTTTTCCCTGCTCAAGAGTGAGAGCCACTCGCGACATCACATAGGGCTTCTGCAGCTTTGTCACGCCGTGCACACGGTCGTAGCCTTGGAACCCCATGGGAACAAGATTTCTCAAAGAATCTGAAATGCAAACACGTGCAAACTCCAGGTCTGCAAGGCTAGCCCGTATCCGTAGGTATTATGCAAGAAACGGAACCGGAAGATGCACAGCAAGGCCTTGCTGTTGTCAATCTGCTTTGCCACATTGTAAAAGATCGACTTGCAGGTCAACGGCTTGGAAAGATCCTGAGGTACACATGTTGAGCCATTGACTGGTAATTGCTGCTGTTTGATCGCAATGTGAACCATCAACTCCCAAACAAGAACCTACGTATCTAGAACAAGGTGACAGTGAGAAGCTGGGCCAAGATTCCGGCATTGTTCGATACATGCGCGGGCTCTTCAACTGGATCTTGAAGGAGTCTCCACTTGCATCGACCTGCCTTGTCACCTCGCTGTAGGACAGCTCATACTGCGTCGCCTTCTTCTGCTTCTCCAGCATGGTGAAGTAGCGGTAACATGTCATGACATCCATGGCAGTGCTGTCAGGATTGAGGGACGACATGTCGATCTGTATTGGCGTTTTGTCGCCAAGATCCCATTTCAGCAGAACGCTTTGTTTCTCATCCAAGGGCTCCCCAGGAACAACTGGCTGATACCTCAAAGAGGACAACATTGTTCCCTGTTCTCTATATTCTATTTGATAGATATATATATATATTATATTATATTATATTAGATTATAATATGTATAGTCAGTATAATATATATGTATGCATCTATAACACAAATTTCATATACAGGAAATGAACTATACGCACATATTTATGTTGTATTTTAAGTTGCCTGTCAGTTTTTTGGTTTGAGCAACGCAAAACAAAAAAAACCTGCTGCTAGTTCAATAATCGTGGCGCTTGCCAGTACCATACCCACCAAGCAAAGTGTGCTTAGGCACAATGCGGCGCTTGTCAACACTGACCAAGTAGACTTTCTCAGACTTGCCCTTGATCACCTCAATACCAGCAATCTCGGACATGCACCGAGCTACAAAAGGACCATCATCTTTCTCCAGCTCCTCCACACTGCCATAGGACTTGAGCTCCGTGTCCTCCCCTTCACCACCACCATCAGCAGGGACAACAGCTGCTTCCGCCTCGGGCCCTTCGCGATCGACACTGGCTGACGCGGCAATGATGTTCTTCAACACAGGCTGAAAATTCTTCTCGTGATCAGCCTTTAGCTCCGCAAACCTGGCTGGGTGACTGCACCAGTCAGAGATTGTTGGTAAAGAAATGGACAATTTGATACTGACAAAATGTACTTAGCAGTTAATTAGCATATGTTGGTCCTGGTTTCATTGGTTGTCAAGTAGTCCATCCATTCATCGATCCATGGTCCATCTATTATCATTCTTTTTTGCCAATCAATTTTCTATTGTAACCCCTAAGATCCCCTAAGCCTATATCATGTGTCTACTACTTATCATTTGCATCCGACCTATCTACATCTCTACGAGAATGGGCCACAAAACTTGCTTTCAAACAAAAACCGAGAAGCTTGGTAGCAATCACATGGCCAGCGTTCTCCCACTGCCTCATCTGGTCAGGGTGGATCTTAAAGTCAGAGCCGCTCTTCACAAGAACTTGAAGTTCCAAGCTGGCAGGATCATTCATGTACTTGTAGCAATCGATCCCGGCTTTCTCCTTGCATTCATTTGTTTGGATGTTTGTTCTCAAAATACAACGCGAAGCCTTACAAAAGAAAAGGTTATGAAGGCTGACAAATTTTGGTTGATTTGGTCACACGAAGATCCCGTGGGTAGTTGAAGAATATGGCAAGCAAACAAAGCTGACTTATGTAGTCGAGAGGCTTCCTCAGTAAGAGCCACTGACTGATCGTTGAAGCCATGGCCACCATATGTGAACTTCTTCTCAAGCCACATGTCCAGCAACTCCCTGTGGACCCTGCTCTTGCCGTATTTGACCCCCTCCATGTTGTCCAAAGTGTGGACGCTCAGGTAGTAGAGCTTATCACTTGGCATCGGGCAGTCTGCTACCAATGTCGGCTTCTTGCATCTCATGTTTGCAACCTTAGCATGAGAGTAGTGGGATTCTGACCCAGGTGTTAAACATGTTTGTTTCTAACAGGCTCATTCTGTTACATCATATGTGGTTGGCAAATAAAGGAACAGTATCTTGACATCTTTTTCGTGAGACAGAAGCTGGACTGGAAAGATTACTGGCTGACAGGACAAAAGGCTGCAATAGCAAGTTCCTCCACGTAGCCAGTAAGGTTTACTATCAATACTGCAGGGAAGGATGTGTACTTCAACACAGACGAGACCAAAAACTCCAGGCGCATTACACCCTTCTGCGCCGCCACCTGTTCATGAGATGGTCTGAGCCTGTCTGCAATGCGCACAGTGTCCTGAACTGCTCCAGACACCAACAACGGTTCGAACAACCAATGTATTGCGAGTTGATTGAAACAACACTTACACGACGTGTGCTGTAAGAATAAAGACCCGAGGGCGCGAAACTTGTAGCGACCCAATCAAAACAGGCTGTTGAAACAATCATAGGGTCTGGACTTGCCGGTTCAGGGATGAGCAAGCTCGCCGTTTTTGGCAAAATGGCCAAAGGAGCAACGCTGTCACTGCTCTCGTTCGCCCCGACGAAGCGCCCGTAGACAGCCAATTCTGAAGCGAGCCAGCCGTTAGAGTCCATCAAAGAGGACGAAGTCACCAGTCGTCCTGAACCGAACTTCCTTGCATTTGATTTGGACTCTGCCTTCTTGCTCTCACGACTGAAGACTTCCACGAAACGTGTTTCGCAGCTTTGGCTCATGCTGAACAAGCTGTCGAACAGTTGACGCTCCTCGTCATACAATCCCCGAAGACTGCTGTCTCTGGCGGAGTCGGGCTGAATCAGCAGGCCTGCTGTGCCAGCCGGGTTCGCTTCGTTCAGCGATGCCATTCCTCTGAGGATGGACTGGCTGTTTTCTTTTGTCCTCGCCCAAGGACAATTGAAGTCGGCCCATGACAGAACCCCGATCTGGTCCTGTGAGCACCCTGCATCAGCCGCCTTGGGCCACAACTGTTGCGACTGTAGCATATTAGATATAGACTATGTATGGTATCATTTCATTCGTCTCAAAGGTGGATTCAGCAAATGGAAAACAATAAGTCTTGACAGTTGACTGATGTGTCCAAGAAACGATCGATGCCTTCATTTTGGCAACCTCGCCCATCATGAGGTCCATCTTGTTCACTGAAGTCACACGCACATAGGCATCCTGATTCATCGAGAAGCGAATGTCAAAGCAACAAAAAATCAGTCAGTGCGAGAGTGAGGGAAAACGGTGTCAAAGCCGCAACAAAAAAATCAGGCCAAAATTAATCAAATTCATGCAAATTTAAATCCAGGGGTCAGAATAGCCACTGACTGCTTTGCGCCCTGCCTCCGCCTGCTGCCTGCGCTGCTGAACTGTTTTGGCATGCAGTAGTGATTTCACCCGGTGTGGAACCTCCTGCACCTTCTGCAATGAAGTCTGGTCCTGCTTCAGCGCTGACACGAAGTAATTCCACTGAGCTTCGGTGACTTTTTCTCGCTGTTCAGCAACTTCGGACAAGATCATGCTTTGCTGTTCCTAAGGCGCGTCCCGAAAAAAATAGACAAAACCCGGCACTGAAGAAGAAACGCAAGATCTTGAAAAAACAAACTTTGCTAAACTCACCCCAAAGCTCTTGGTTCCTCTTCATGGCCTTGACCTTCTGGCTCCTCAGCATCGACAAAGCAACGCGCTGAGGCCGTGTGTCCAAAAGTGCTGCAAAGTCATCGTTTGTGCCAGCCATAAAGGACTCCTCCATAGCATCCACATCATCTGCCGACAGCTTGGTCTTCCTTGGCCGCAACCCTTGAAAAAAGTTTGACCGGGAAAGATTGACGGACTCTTGATACACAGTCCGTGGATGTCCGCGGTGCAATTCATTGGCCACATCCCCAATTGATAGCGAAATATGTGCATATACACAAAAACTATTTCCAACTAGCACAAGATCCACACAGGATGCCGAGGTTCAAGTGTGGAAGGAGTTGGCAATACAACACGGCAAGGTTGCGATGGAGTACCAACTCTTCTGCGGAAAGTCTGTACTTCTTCTTGCTCGGAAGCGGTATCCCGATGGTGTTGCGCTTGAAAAGCTGCCAGACCTTCTTGAAAAACACGAGCTGGGAGGCTGGCGTCAAAGGAAATGGACGGGGTTGCAACAAAGCAGCCATGTCTGCTCTGATTTCCACTAGTTCATGAATGGCGTCATCCAGGGTCCATTGCTTGTAATTGTACAATTCTGCAATCTTTCCCCAAAGGACTTGGTCCGCTGACTGAAGTTCAGCAACATTGGGTGGGCGTAAACCACTGTCTGGTTCAAAACGCTGACTTGCGAGTGAAAGGAAGCGATGAAAATACTTCTTAAGAGTGGATAGATGTGCTCCCCGACAGAAGGCCACTGCGGTAGCCTGCAAGTGCAACAATTGGGAAAGCTGCTGCAAGCCGATGTTCGATGAAGGGATGTCCCGAACCGGTATATCATCCAACAACAAGTCGGAAAGGGCGGTAAGATCACTGCGCGCGGCTTTGCGGGCTCGAATCATGCTAGATTCATCTTGCAATTTAGCACTTAAGCGGTATTTCCATGCAATCCATTTCCATTCTTTGCGCTGCAACTGCTGATACGTGAGTGCTAACATTCGGCTGGATGGCATGAGATCGGGATCCAACAGTTCTCCCGGGTACTGGCGCTCAAAATTGTCACGCAGTTCTCTGATGAGATCCGGGCTAAGCTTCGAGGGAAAAGGTTCATTCCAAGATGAACCTGGGCGAGTGCCTGAAAATGGCCCAATGCTGTCACCTGAAAGCAGGCTTGATGAATGCGATGAACCTGAAGCGTGCAAATGTTGGCATCGTGTCCACAAAACACGGAGGGAAGAACGTGCTCGATGTGAGAGATCCAAACTCATGCTATCCAGGACGCTGTCCAAGTCATTCAATGACAACGCAACCAATCCAAAGGATTCGGTATCATACTGCTCATCTAGCAGAACTTGCTGAATATTCTCTGGAATGCGAAGGTCTGTCAAAAGTTCTGCAAATGTAGGGCGAGCCATGTTTCAACGAGAAGTGAAAATGAAAAATGACTACCAAAGAAGATCATGACAGAATGAATTGAAGCGTTCTTGAGTAAGTCGTAGTTCGGTTCGTTTGTTTTTTTCCCGAATGCGTAGCGCAGGGTTCCCGTTTATAGTTGGGGGTGTGGGGGTTGGACATGTGTTTGCATGGCTTGCGTCGTGTCGTCGTCTCCCGTCGTCTCTCGTCGTCTCTCGTCGTCTCTCGTCGTCTCTCGTCGTCTGTCGTCGTCTGTCGTCGTCTGTCGTCGTCGTCGCGTCGCAAATTCGCTGCCATTGGGGGAAGCTTTTGCAAGTGACTTTGCATGGACGTGTCACGTGTCAGTTGGCGCCGCTAATCCGTTGGGATTTGCAGGAGCAGGACATGTCGCGCGAGAAACGTGATGCGTTTCGCTGCACAGGTGCAGCGTTTTGTGAGATGGGCAGAGTCCTCCGCAGTTCCATTGGGATTAGCGTTTGGAGAGTCGTGTTTTTGGGGTGTTGGATGTGGCCGTGCCATTGGGATTTGCGTTTCAGGGTGTGGCATCGAAGCTCTGTTTTCGTGACAAGTCTCAGCTGAAATGGCGATTTTGGTGGATGGGAGTGTGCCCTGAACGGGTCGAAATCATTCCAAACGTGTGGCGTGGTGCAGATTTTGTTGAAGCTCACACGCGATGATATTGTCACTTTTCGTGGCAGGCGCAGGACTTCGTGCGGGCTTTGAAGCGTGGAAGTGCGATTCTCGTGGCAGGCGCAGGGAATCGTGAGGTTGCGAGGTGTGAGGGAGGTGACATTTTGTGGCAGGCGCAGTACTTTGCGCGCGTTAGACGTGTGGATGGGGAAAGATTCGTGGCAGGCGCAGGGAATCGTGAGGTTGTGAGTTGTGGTAGAGGTGAATGTCGCTGTCCCATTGGGATTGGCGTGCGAGCGGATGTTGTTTGGAGGGGCTGGAATCGCGAAACTGCTTGGCAGGGCTGCGTGATGTGTGTGCTCCGATGGGTGTTTCCGCTTGACTTTTGGAGGAAGTCTCGTACGAAACGCTCGTTTTGCAGACTTTGACGTGTGAGTTTTTGAGGAAGTCTCGTACGAAACGCTCGTTTTGGAGACTTGACGCGCAACCCTCTGCGGAGATCGTGCGTGTCGAGTGTGCGAAATGCAGGCGAGAGTGCGATTTGCCCCATGCGCGCGCAAACCCTCTGCGGAGATCGTGCGTGTCGAGTGCGCGAAATGCAGGCGAGAGTGCGATTTGTCCCATGCGCGCGCAACCCTCTGCGGAGATCGTGCGTGTCGAGTGCGCGAAATGCAGGCGGGAGTGCGATTTGTCCCATGCGCGCGCAACCCTCTGCAGAGATCGTGCGTGTCGAGCGCGCGAAACGCAGGCGAGAGTGCGATTTGTCCGGTGCCCGCGCAACCCTCTGCGGAGATCGTGCGTGTCGAGCGCGCGAAATGCAGGCGAGCACTGGCGACTTTGTAGTACAACTTTAGTACGCGGGGTATCTGGGGAGCTGGAAGATGAGAACTGGTGACTTGGTAGTACAACTTTAGTACGCGGAGCAATCTGTGGAGCTGGAAGCTGAGAACTGGCGACTTTGTAGTACAACCTGAGTACGCGGAGCAATCTGTGGAGCTGGCAGCTGAGAACTGGCGACCTTGTAGTACAACTGTAGTACGTGGAGTATCTGGGGAGCTGGAAGCTGAGAACTGGCGACCTTGTAGTACAACTTTAGTACGCGGAGTATCTGGGGAGCTGGAAGAGAGTCCCACAAGAGTGTCCCGCAACAGTGTCCCACTAGAGTGTTTCAAAAGAGTGTCCCTTAAGAGTGTCCTACAGGAGAATCCCAGAAGAGTGTCCTACAAGAGTGTCCCACAAGAGTGTCCCACAAGATCCCACAAGAGTATCCTACAAGAGTGTCCCACCAGAGTGTCCCACAGCGTGTCCCACAAGAGTGCCCCACAAGAGTCTCCTACAAGAGTGACCCGCAAGAGTGAGAGTGTCCCACAAGAGTGTCCCACAAGAGTTTGCTACAAGAGTGTCACACAAGAGTGTCCCACAAGAGTGTCCCACAAGAGTGTCCTACAAGAGTGTCCTACAAGAGTGTCCCACAAGAGTGTCCCACAAGAGTGTCCCACAAGAGTGTCCCACAAGAGTGTCCTACAAGACTGTCCCACAAGAGTGTTCTACAAGAGTGTCCCACAAGAGTGCGCCACAAGAGTGTCCCACAAGAGTGTCCCGCAACAGTGTCGCTCAAGAGTGTCTCACAAGAGTGTCCCTTAAGAGTGTCCCTTAAGAGTGTTCGACAAGAGTATCCCACAAGAGTGTCCTACAAGAGTGTCCCACAAGAGTGTCCTAGAAGAGTGTCCCACAAGAGTTTCCTAAGAGTGTCCCACAAGAGTGTGCTGCAAGTGACCCACAAGAGTGTCCCACAAAATTATCTCACAAGAGTGTCCCACAAGAGTGTCCTACAAGAGTGTCCCACAAGAGTGTCCTACAAGAGTGTCCCACAAGAGTGTTCCACAAGGGTGTCCTATAATGTCCCACAAGAGTGTCCCACAAGAGTTTCCGACAAGAGTGTCCTACAAGAGTGTCCCACAAGAGTGTCCTACAAGAGTGTCGTGTAAGAGTGTCCCACAAGAGTGTCCTGCAAGTGACCCACAAGAGTGTCCTACAAGAGTGTCTCACAAGAGTGTCCCACAAGAGTGTCCTACAAGAGTGTCCCACAAGAGTGTCCCACAAGAGTGTCCCACAAGAGTGTCCCACGAGAGTGTCCTATAAGAGTGTCCTACAAGAGTGTCCTACAAGAGTGTCCCCCAAGAGTTTCCTACAAGAGTGGCCCACAAGAGTGTCCTTTGGACATATTAGTTTTTCGATCGTGTTTGCATTCGGGTTCGTGGGTTCCATCTTGTTTTTTTGGAATCATGCTGATTCAAAATAGAAGATTTACAGCTGAGGTCCACACAACTGGTGGGTAAAGCGGGATGGCAATGAGCCAAAATAGGAATAGAAGAGCAGCTAAATCATTGACAACTGCAATGATGATCGCGTAAGCTGTAGATAGAACGCAGGTTCCACAACTGGAAACCAATTTGTTGACATGCTGTCAAACAAAAACGCGATGCAATGACTTTTCAAGCCATAGTACGACCTTGCTGGTCACAAGTGGAAGTCAAAAGCTTCCACTGAATAGAGGTAGCTGGAAAATACCTAATGAGCTGGAACTACCGGAGGATCAAAGTATCCTCTCACTGAGCTTATGACTAGAAGAGCTGAATCAAGTAGTGGGTGGTCATCAATCAATTGCAATTCACGCAATACGCCGCTCGCTGAGCTGAGTTCCGCTGGAAGCACGGCCGAGTTCGGCTCAAAAAGGATTGCCCACAGGGGGGCTGGAGCTGCAGCAGGGGAGCTGCTTGACACTGGAATCTCTATCGCGGCTGCTTGGGCCTGGACATACACCAGTCCGTAGTGGTTGATATAGGCCTCGAGAGCCACCCACAGGTCGGCTATAGGGCGGGTAAGGTGAGAGAGGCCTGACGCATGCAGAATTGATCTGCAAGATTCACGCAATAGTTCCAATCTATCCAACGCTGTGGGGTTTATGAAGTCCGTCCGTGGAGGTGCAATAAGTCAGAAGCACAGCGAGGAGATCCATGGTAGGGAATCGAGGTACAGAGGACGAGATAGCCGATTTAGCTTGAGGCTAAGTAG